AACCTGTTGTACGAAACCTTTGTTTCATTTCTGGAAAGAAGGTTTGATACGGAACCTGTTTTACACCGAACCAAAAAAGGATCTTCCCGTGTATCCGCGGGAAGATCCTTTTTAGGTTCCGTAGAAACCCTTTTTTTTTTAGAGTGTAATATTGATAAAAATGATGATTGTATTCAAATAAGAGCTCGTCTTCGACTCCTAATTAATTATCTTAAAACATTTGATGAACCAAATGATGAATGTTTATGTTGTATTAAGCAAATAGTAAATGAAAAAATATTTTTAATTATTTCAGGAAGGTATAGTCAACATGTTGTACCAATTGTTCACGATTTACCACAAGTTTTATCAATATATATTTATTATTATATGAAAGATGATTATCTTCATCAAAAAGAAATCTATGTTTGTTCACATTTCTTCAGTAAGTCGAGATTTGGTTGTTACTTTTGCGTGAAAAGTTTCTCTTTTAAGAAAAAATGGATCAAAACCCATTTTTAGAAGAAAAAAAAAGGCGTTTTTATGAAAAGTTTGTCCTTTAGACGAAAAATCTAGTCTTGCTTTTAAGAAGTTCTTTCAAATTTTTCTTCGTAGTCCTGCTGTGTTTTCTCAAAAGAAAGAGGTGGGATATCTGAGCTATTTAGGCATCCTTCATAAATAAACCTTTAACGAACAAGTCACTGATTATAAACGTAATCAGTTAGGAACAACATCAATAATAAATTTGAAATCTATACAAGAATTTTCAATCAAAAATTTATCAAAAAATAATGCAAAATTTGTTTGGTTTCAATTACTTATTCAAATATTATTTTTAATGCCAAAAACAAATGATTCTATTCAAGAAATGATTTATGAATGTCAATTACAGTATCATGGTAATGACGTTGAACAACAGAAAATAAATGAATTTCAACAAACATATAAATCATCAGATAGTATTAAATGGTATACACGTGATAGTTTTGTCTATCGTCTGATTAATAAAGCACTAAGAACTCAAAATAGGAACCATTCGAATATCACATTG